AGGAGAGCTAGTAACGTTAGCAGCACCGCTAACGGCTAACCAACAGGGGGAGAGCTAGTAACGTTAGCAGCACCGCTAACGGCTAACCAACACGAGGAGAGCTAGTAATGTTAGCAGCACCGCTAACGGCTAACCAACAGGAGGAGAGCTAGTAACGTTAGCAGCAGTATGATGTTTAACTTCCTAACACGAGCTATAAACACATTATTATACTTCATTAAATCTACAAATACCCATAAAATAATGTTGAATTGAAGCTATTTTTTTTAATATATATTACTTTAATCTTATTTAATCTTTAAGTTTAATTAAGTCACCCGAAACAACAGAATCACAGATTTCTACGGAGCTTTTTAGCCTCTTTTAGCTCGAGTTAAGAGACAAATAGTAAAACATTTAAAGCTTTGATCTAAACTATCACATTAAAAACCGTTAACTTACATTAAACATTAATAAACAGTATAAACAAAGACTTTAAATGTGTTTCTGTAGATGATTCTACGAGAGTGAAGCTCACGTACCTGGAGGACGACCCCTGCTCCGACTACATCAACGCCTGCTACGTACCTGTGAGCACACACACGCACACACGCACACACACACACGCACACGCACACACACACACACACACTGACACCTGTGTGTGTGGGGGTGTGTGTGCAGGGTAACAACTACCGGCGGGAGTACATGGCCTCTCAGGGGCCGCTGCCCGGCACCAAGGATGACTTCTGGCGGATGGTTTGGGAGCACGGCGTCTACAACGTGGTGATGGTGACGCAGTGTGTGGAGAAAGGACGGGTGAGGGAGCGACGCTGTCATTGCCTTCATTGTGTCCGTCTTTGATGTTTGATGGATGTGTTCGTGGTCCTCTGAGGATGAACCCTTTATGTCAGTCTGATGGACACGTTGACATAAAATGTGTTTTATTTTGACTGTTTAGCTTTGATGTCACTTCAAGTTAAAATATCAGTAAATCTTCTCATGAAGCTCACTAAGTAGTAAATAATGAGAAGAGTTTATTATTTAGTTTAATACTTTCATCCCTCAACATCATAAACAACTCCTGAGAAGTGTAATACGATATGTACGAGGGCTGATATGATATTTATTATCTAATATCTGTTGATTAGTTTTGTTTTTCTCTGTTTATTGATTCATTCATTATTTTGTCTTTGAGGTTTTTTACCAATAAAAAGTTCTCAGATGTCTTGTTTTGTCTAAAACACAAAGGTTTCAGTTCCTTTCTTCATAAGTAGAAGTATGACTTATATTGATATTGTATTGAGTAATAACTCATGTTTCTGTGACAGGTGAAGTGTGATCAGTACTGGCCTGCAGACAGAGAGCCTCTGTACTACGGTGAGCTGGTCATCCAGATGCTGTCTGAGTCCGTCCTGCCGGAGTGGACCATCCGAGAGTTCAAGATCACCTCGGTACCCGGTCTCCGTCTCTCATACCTCACCGTGCTGTAGAACCATATCATTTACTAACATGTGATCACTGGCTGCTGACAGGAGAGCGGCTGCAGTTACCCTCGAGTGCTGCGTCACTTCCACTACACGGTGTGGCCGGACCACGGAGTCCCAGAGAGCACCCAGTCCCTGATCCAGTTCGCCAGGACGGTCCGGGACTACGTGGACCGATCACCCAGCACCGGAGCCACCGTCGTCCACTGCAGGTGTGTGTGTGTGTGTGTGTGTGTGTGAGTGTTAGTGTGTGTGTGAGTGTGTGTTGTTGTGCGTCTCATTGAGGAAATGACGGGCTGAGAGTTAACAACAATTCTCCATTGATTGATTTGTGTGTGTGTGTGTGTGTGTGTGTGTGTGTGTGTGTGTGTGTGTTTGTGTGTTTGTGTGTGTGTGTGTGTGTGTGTGTTAGTGCTGGTGTTGGCCGTACGGGGACGTTCATGGCCTTGGATCGGGTTCTGCAGCAGTTGGACTCTAAAGGAACCATCGACCTGTATGGATGTGTGTTCGACCTCCGGCTGCACCGCCAACACATGGTCCAAACTGAGGTACCCCCCCCCCCCCCCACACACACACACACACACTGCTGAAGTTGTTTCTGAAACCTTGACCTTCTAACTACTTAGACTTGGACTTACTTGGACCAAACCAGGACACCTTTTCAGAGCCCTGCCATGGTGGCGAAGAAACTCTTAGATTTCAGGCTCATAACAGATCAGATACCACATATATACAATAATTGTATGAGTAACTGTAATTTAAAAAGGTTGTAAAACGAGTAAATATACAGGGTGGTGCTGCAGTCAGAAGACGGTGAATGAGTATCTGGAGTCCTTGTTCACTCGTGTACAGCATGTTGAACCCTCCTCATGTGCTTCAGTGCCAGTACTCGTTCCTGCATCAGTGCGTCCGTGACGTCCTCAGAGCCAGAAAGCATCGCAGTGAACAGGAGAACCCTCTCTACCCCATCTACGAGAACTTCAACCCAGAGTACTGCCGCGGTGAGACTAACACTCCCACAGCACATGACATTAATATTAACGAGGATCTACCGGAGATCAGTTCCTGCTGTTGTGTTCAAACCATTTCTAATAAACTCATAACTTCTTCTTCTCTCCTCAGACTTCATCTACACCGGCCGCTGAACAGACGATGACGTCATCTCAACTCTCTGAGCTCATGAGAACATTAACGATGAGTCATGTTCACCGTGTCGCTGCTTTAACATCAGGTTTATGGAAGTTAAATGTCGACTACAGTTCAGAAAGTAAACAAACATTAATATCAAAGAAAAGTCTTTTATTAGCTACATTTTAAAGTGAATTCATATTTAGTTCAATTTGTGACCGGATGGCGACTTTTAAAAATCAAAAGTGTCTCAACATCGTTTTCTAAATGATGTACGTTAATGTGTCTGTTGATTTCCTTCAGTGTTCAAGAGGAACACGAGCTGATCTCAGGTCGTGTTTAAATCTGACTTAAACTGCAGTTATACTTATTATATACGTATTATAACTTATTATCACTCACTGCTCCTTATAAGCTGTTTATTTAAAAGGTTACACATATTGCTGTATGTAAATAATGATGTAATGCTCTTTTTATATAGATGATTATAAACTGTACGTCAGCTATTTTTATGCTAATATGTAGTATTGACATTTTTCTATTTATCTCATTTATGAAATCAAACAATTGCAAGAATTAATAAACTTCTTTTTTCAGACTTACGATAACTAAACATTGAATTGTTTATTCTAAAAACCCTTTTTATGAAGTTGTTTGTGTACTTTAGACATAAAAAGATTCTAATAACGAGTCAAAGCTTTTCCTGCATTTTAGAAATAACAATATTTACTTTGTTTGAATATTTGATGAATTTGTGACATGATTTCCAGATTTCTGCTCGTAAAACTAGTTGTTTGGATTTAACTGAGGATATAATGATCATGGTTTTTAATCATACACGGGTAATTATTGTGTTTTACGTGATATTAGTGATTAAAGGTTTCCATTACTCATTCCTGGTGTAATACATAAACCAGTTGTATTATTCTGTATATGATGTAATCATCGGCCATATATGAGATTTGTACGATAAGAGAATGTAGATCAGTGTTAAACCTGCTTCAGATCAGAGATTGTTGGATTATTGATGATGATTAAAGTAAATAACCAACGATGTTTGTGTGTGTTGCTCATATTCTGTCATTAAGTTGAACAATTGTGTAAAATGTTAAATTATTGTCATGTTTGTAATTAATTCTAACCAGTTCTGTTTCATAATAAGTCATTGTATGTCGAGAAAAGTCATAAAACACAAAGATGAGATTTAAAGCATCTGAATATATATTCATAACTCCGTATAAGTTTCAGCTGCTTGTTCCTCTCGTCTGTGAAACGTCTGGTTTCCATGTTTCCATGTTTCCATGTTGATGTGTTGATGTGTTGATGTGGGGATGTGTTGATGTGGGGCACGCTGAGGCCGGAGCACAACTGGGTCACCCAGATAGAAGCCTCTATCGGGGCTCAAAGGGAGTCGAGGAGTCCGAGCTGAGCCACGATCCCTCCAGACTAATCCTCCAGCTCCTCCTCCTCCTCCAGCTCCTCCAGCTCCTCCAGCTCGTCCAGCTCCTCCAGCTCGTCCAGCTCATCCTCCTCATCCTCCTCCTCCTCCAGCTCGTCCAGCTCCTCCTCCTCCTCCAGCTCGTCCAGCTCATCCTCCTCGTCCTCCTCGTCCTCCTCGTTCATACCGGAGACGAAGTTAGAAATCAGACGACGTCCCTCGAGCTTCACTCCAACAGACGAGTCCGACCAGCAGAAGAGTTCAAGAGAAACTTCAGCAACAAGCTGCTCACTCGCTGAAAACAGCGACGTCAGTTTATTAGTTTAAACAATTTAAACAATAAAATAAAAACAAACATAACAGAGATAAATAACATCGCAGAGCAGGAAGAGGCAAAAAAGGGCAACTGAGCTTATTTGAAGCCTCCACCTTTATAATATTAAAACTGATTTTAAAAATAAAATGAAATTACATAATATTACATTAAATAAAATAAACAAATAAATGAATTAAATAAAAAAATAAAATAAAATAATATTAAATAAAACATGGGTGAGAAATGTACAATTATAGAGAATGCTTACTGAAAGGAAAGGTTTTCGATCGCGACCCTTTGAGGGGTCCTGATCCACAGCTTGAGACACACTTCTGAGCACAGCATGAGTTAAAGAGACAGTTTGAGGTCATTTCAGGTCTTTGATGGCGCTGAAGGGAGGAGTTGATGAACACTCTCCATCAGATTGTGGTTCTGCTGATGGGGGTGGTGTTGATATTTATGTGGCAGAGAGAGAAGTGCTGAGGTGTTAAAACAGGTTTCTGATCCAGTGAACAGCTGCTCTGCTCACTGTCTGTTAAACTGAAGGAGGAAATAAGAATAAATAAGAAGCTGATGTTGGGAGGAAAATTAAAACAAATCATGAAACTAAACCCTCATTGTGACGTAGTGAAATAAATATATGTCAGGTATAAAGGATGCTGCTGCTATAAGCTTACAAACTCTGTATTTACTTATAGCAGAGTATTTTTACACTGTGTTCTAAACGTTTTTTAGGTAGTTATATTTTGTATTTTATATTTTATGTTTCATATTTTATATTTTGTTTCATATTTTATATTTTATATTTTGTTTTATATTTTATATTTTATGTTTTATATTTTATATTTTATATTTTATATTTTATGTTTTATATTTTATATATATTTTATAATTAAAATAACGTCGGCTTCTTTTGACAGGTTTGACGTTTACTTTCTTATGACTGCAGTACCCCTTTTGACCACATTCGGCCCCACATTCACCACACATTACAATCCAGGGGGGCGCTGTTGCACCACTTCAGAGATAAACTGTGAAAAGTGGTGACGATCAAATGCCTCAATAATAATAAATAAACAAATATTGTGTGACAAATACATTATTTGTTTTCATAAAATTACAAAGAATGACATAAAGCCTATTATATATATATGTATATATATAATATTTTTTTGAATATTAAAAATATATATTGTTAATTTTTGTACTTTTACTTTATTGCAGGATTTGAACTTGCATTTGAGTATTTTAACATTTTTTGCTCACGAAATAGATCTGAACACTAAGTAACTACTATGGCAGTTAAATGTACTGCAGTAAATAGTACAATATTACCTGTGAGATGTAGTGGAGTACAAGTATGAAGTAGCACAAATTGGATATACTTCAGTAAAGTACAAGTACCTTGAAATTATACTTAAGTGGAAGTGTGTGTGTAGAGCGGCGAGATATTAACACTGATGTCAAAGATCAGAGGGTCAACGTGACTGTGAGTCTTTCATTGATTATATTGAACGAGTGGTGTGACCAGTGTGTGCGTGTGCATGTGTGTGTGCGTGTGCATGTGTGTGTGTGTGTGTCTGTCTGTCTGTGTGTGTGT